GCCTCTAGGTGCATTTCCTTTGCTTAATATCTTATTGTAGAGATTCATTCATATTCTTGCATGTCCCTGTTGTTCATTTGTTTTGACAGAGTATAATTTTCCACTGTGTGAATACATCACAGTTTATTCATCACCCTCCCACTGCTGGGCATCTGGGCTCCTTCCAGGCTGTGGTATTGGGAACAGAGTTGCACATGTCTCCTGCTAGACATGAGTTTCTCTTGGGTACATAAAACTAGGAGTGGAATGGCTAGGTCATAAGGAATGTGAATGTTCACATTTAGAAGACAGTATCAAAATGTTTTCCATTTTATTTGCATTTCCTAGAGTCTCTAAGATGGTTTGTTCTTCTTTCTGTCCCACTCAATTTTACTTTTAAAATATCACATGTTTGTGGAGATATAGAAGCTCTATTAAAACGCTTAGATCAGGTTCCTAGCCTAACATCTGGGTAGGATTTCAGGTTAAACCCCCCAATATGGAAAAGAAGAGCATCTTGGCAGGCACATGGACCATAAGGAGGGCATCTACACAGACGCAACCACCCACACTGGTGCAGACATGGAGGCAGGCTAGTCAAATGGAAGCTAACACTTTAGAAGCTGCTGCACATTTGACAGATATGAAAGATACAAAAAAGGGATTGGAGTGGGGCTGAAGCCAGATTCCTCATCCAAATTTCATTGCTCAGCCTCTTCTCCCCAAAGTCTCCCATCACCACCTCAGACACACACACACACACCCCACACACACACATATACCCCTCACACAACCCACGTCCCACAGCATACCACAGACCACACCCTACACATACCTCACACCACACACACACACACACCTTTAAGAAAAAGAAAATAGAGGACAAAAATTGGAGGAGGACAGTTTATAATCAACTTCAAGTTTAAATGGGGGCTAGACATCCCTGAATGGTCCAGCCCACATCAACGAATATTGAATGCATGCTTTACAATGTGACAAACACTAATGAATAAGCTCTCTTCTGCCCTCAAGGGGCTTGAAGTTTGCTCATTTAACAAGACAGGATCATGTATAAAGTAATGGAGGGCAGGTTAATGCTCAGAAGAAAGGATACTAGCCTTTAAGATCCTCACGGTAGCAGGATTAAGCAAAAGTGAAGAATACAAGTGAACCAGACACTGAATGTATTCAAGATGAGAGTTCTAAGCAAGAGTGTTCTGGGGGAAAGTTCCTGGAGAGTGATGTTGGAGCTGGGTTTTGAAGGATGAATTGACTAAACAAGAGGAGACAGAATAAACGATACACCTAAAAGAATTAAATTTCTGACTCTAACCTCTTGACCTTCTCATTTTCTCCGAATTCTCAAACTTCTTCAATCGATTTTCTGTCCCCAGCCACGCTAGAGCAAGCACCAAGAAAGTAGCATTTATGGATCACCATTGTGCATGCATTGTCGCATTTATTTGCTCATTCCACAAACAGCAACAAAGCACAGCCCCAGGAGCCGACACTATCGTGAGTCTGGGGATACACAGAAGGACAAGAATGGACACAGTCCCTGCCCTTACCCCGCCCTCTGTCCATGAAGGCAGATAAGAGGATTACATAAAAATCTGACCATCAGTTGGTCTCCTCAGCCTGGGAGGGTCCTGCCTCTCTCCCATCCTCCCTTAAACGTTTTCAGTAAACTGTGCAATATTAAAGAAATGGCTGCCTCCTTCATAATTAAAAGAATCCTGACCAGCATCCCAGGTAGCAGAGCACTCAGAACTGAGAGCAGAGGCAGGTTACCCCATAAGCAAGGTAAACTTGGGCTTACTTGTGCTTACTTACTAATCTGTAGTGAACAATTTAGTTGTTCACTACAGATTAGTAAGTAAGCACAAGTAAACTCATGCTTACCTTGCTTACTGAGTACTCCGTCCCTGTCGGATATTGCAAATTTAAAAAAAGGCTTTGATTCTGGAGGAAGGTGCTGTGGGGTTGGGAGAGAGACAGATGCCAGCCACACCTAGAAGCAGAATCTTTGATGTGGTGAAAAAATGTGAAATCGTTCACTACAGATTAGTAAATAAGCACAAGTAAGCCTATGCTTGTGCTTATTAGGTAATCAGACACTGGCTGAGAGACGGGAAAATCAGGTGATTCCTACATCATAGCCTCCAATCTGATGCTTGATAGCTGGTGATTTCCAGAGTCAAACAAATGTCAGGGACTTTATGAAGGCCGGAAGCCAATAACGGAGCTAGGATTGGGTCTAGGCCTCAGAGGAGCTCAATTAGTGAGCCAGATAGAATTAAACCAAAAGGGCATGCTCTCGGTTTCCTAGAAAGCCTGCTGGAAAAGATGCCAATCCTTAAGCCTCTGTCACTCAAAAGATTAACAGAAGAGATCTCAGGATGCCCAAAGGGAATACTACAACCAGCCAGGTGTGTCTGCTCCTCTTGGTGACACCGCCATTCGCAATCCAGAACCACACATCTGGGGCCACCAAGAAACCATAGATGAAGACTGGTCTCTTTGGGGATACGTGGAAACTCAAACACACCACCTTTAGTGACACAGATACCAAAAAATATTGTTAATCATGCTTTCTTCCAACAGACTGGCCCGATTCACCTGGGTTCAGCTTCTCCTCATGGAGCCATTCCTTCCTTCAGAGCAGGATCAGCATCACTAGTTGGGTGAGCAGTCTCTGCAGCTGCTTGGGGTGTGGAAAATATACAGTCTTTAAATCCATATAACCTGGTATTTGGACCCCAGAACTACACATTTAAAAAAAAAAAAAAAAAACTCACTGCCAGGGAGTTGTTTTCGACTCATTGCGACCCCTCCTTGGGTTTCTGAGGTGGTATCTCTACAAAAGTAGATTGCCCCATCTTCCAGACACTCCTCGGAAGGAAGACTGGGCAATCTACATCCATAGAGATATGACCATGAGTAATTCAGGCAAGATGTTTAGCCTGAATCTCACATCCTCATCTGCAAACTGGCACAAAGACAACCCACCTTGCAGGGTTCTTGGAAGCAGAAGAGGATAATGCAAATTGTTACCTATACATGCAACCAGGTAACCGGATGCTCAAGACAGTAGCTTCCCCTTGGTACTTTCTAAATAGGGTTGTATGTCTGTGTGTGAGAGAGAGAGAGACAGAGAGAGAGAGAGGGAGATAGAGAGTGCAAGCAGCTGGACCACACAAAAGCCCATATACAGTTTCCGTTTATGTCCCATCATTTCTATCAACTCAATAAGCTAAAGAAGTTGAAGAAAACCCTAACTGATGTCTCTGTTTTCCCGAGAGTCCCCCGCTCTGCCCTCCACGTTGCTTCCTCTTGTTCAGGAGCTGGGGAAAGAGAGCCATATGGCTTGAGACGCTAGCCATGGCCAGCAGCAAACAAGCCCGCCACCATTTGTCTCTGGGCCTCTCTCCTTTTGACCCTCATGTGGGCGGGCATCCAGATTTCACTCAGGGTGCTCTGGTCTGCGTCTCTGTCTTGGCTGTTCCTAATTATTGGAGGGAATGACGGGGCTAACCTGACCTCAGAGTTTAAGAGCTGCGAGTCCTAATATCAAACCAAGCAGCTTCATTTAAAAGGCATCCTCATCTGCATCCATAAAAGTCACTCCCCGGAGCCCTTCCTTGCCCCAGCTTTGGGAATGCCCGCTGTCGAGGATTTATGACACGCCCTGGATCTAATCTGCCACACTTTAACTGCTGCTGTTGCACATCTGGTCATAAAAGCAAGGGTCGGCCCAACACGGGGACAAACACTTTTCTTTCCTAAGTGGCTGCCACACTGATCTCACAATGATAGCCAGGCGCAGGGGTAATCAGCCCAGCCTCTGGGCAGTCATTAAGGCTCACCAAGCTTTGCCAGGATTTTCCTCCACACACGACTGCTTTGAAGGTGATTCTCCGAAAGCAAAAGCTCTGAAGAAAGAACCTGCCATCTGAACAGGTGGTAAGGGTCAACACAGGAGGATGGACAGCCAGGAAAGTATGAACCGGTTGAGGAGCCAACCTTATTTTCACAAAAATTCTAGTTGCTTTCTCAAGCAGCTGTCTTGCGAGAGGGCTGTGGTGACATGAACTGATTCTTGGCCAGAGATTAAGTCTGTCGTTTGGACAAATGAACCACTAGGTGGTTTAATAGCACCTTTTTTAGGCAGTGAAATCCTTTATTAGATCAATTAGGGGGAGGGGAGGGAGCAGTAATGTAGACGCGAAATGAACACAATGCTGTCGGTTCCAGGAGATTTTACAACGCCCTGGACAGCCTGTCCTGTGCACAGAATTGGCACGTTTCAGAACGTTCAGAAACGCCAATCAGATCAAGGTTCAAGTAATTCAACCTCCCAGCACCGAACCCCGAGGGAACGCAGCACCGCGCTTCCCTCTCCACCACCTCTCAACAGTGCCCCCCCTCCTCTACCCCTCCTTCAGGTCCGTCGCCCAGCACAAGGGAGCATTAAAATTATCTGCTATGAGTTTTACGAGCAGCGATCGCTTTTGAAAACAACACAAGGTCCTTGTGTGGTTCGCGGGTAACCTAAAACTCCCGAAGCAGAGCTGCCCCCCGCCGCCTGCCAAGAACGCCAGCGCTCAGAGACCGCCGGGGCGCAGCGGGAGAGCGCAGGGAACCCCTACCAGAGGGGAGAGCGAGCTCTCTCGGAAGCAGGAGGCACCTCTGAGGGTCTCGGGGCAAAATGCAGTCGGAGAGAGACTGGGAAAGAAAACCCTTTCTTGACAGTTCGGGGTGGGGGTGGCGGTTGCTGCAAGGTAGGAATGGGGGCAATGGGAGAAAAATTCATTGCAGCAACTTCTCCAAGAAGCCCGCAGGGGGCTGGCTAGTAGGTGAGAGACAGTAAGTTCTGGCACGACACTCTCCCCTCTTTTGCCCAAGAAGGTGAGGAGCAAAGCGGCCACAGTCTCCCTGCTCAGGTGGGCGCGCGGCTGGGCTCACAGGCGGAGGGCCTCTCTCCGGGGAGTCCGCGGAGGCGCAGCTGAGGGCGCACTTACCCTGGGGCCCGTGGTACGGTGACCGCGAGCCGGGGACAGCTGCACCAACACGAGCAGCAAGTGGGGCGTAAGCAGGCGGGCACAGCGCGCAGGCAGCATGGTGCCAGCCGGGCCGGGCAGCGAGCAGTGGTCGCGAGCTCCGCGGGGCGCACACCCGCGCCTGCCTGTCTTCCTTCTTCTCCTCGCGGGCCCTCGAGGCGTCAGGGAGCAGGCAGTCCTGCGGCGGCTGCTGGAGGAGGCTGCGGTCAGAAGATACGGTCATGAACCGCCCAGAAGGGGAACTGGAGCGCAGCGCGAGCGAATGCTCCGTGCGCCGCGCCTCCTGCGCTCGCCCAGACCGCAGCGGCAGCAGGTTGGACGCAGAGCCGGAGCCATGGGAATTCCCGTTATAAACCCCCAGGAGGGGCGGAGCTGAGCCCAGTGGGCCTGATTGACGCGCCGACAGGCCCGTAGCAACCGAGTCTCTGGCAGGTGAAAGCCAATGGAAAGAGGAAAGAGGGGTGGCTCGTGGTTCGCCCACCCCCCCCCCCCCCCCACCGCCACCACCAAAGAGAAAATCCAGTTGCTCCGCTGGAGTCGGTTCCCGGAGGAGCCGCGAAAAAGAGCAAGTTTTCCCTAGGCCCTTAGAAAGACTGAGAGAGCTCCTGCAACCTATACTTACCAGAATGCCCATCCAACTACTAATAAATAATGCCTTAAGCACGCAGAGCACAACTACATGCGTTGTCACAACAGCTCGGTGAAGTAGACCGGGAAAATGCTCCTAGCCCTGCTTTTCAGCTGAGGATGCTGGGGCGCTGAGGCTCAACAAATGGGAAGACTGTAGGTGACCCCCGCACTTGGTGGCCCATCACCAGCCTTGGGAGTGGGGAGTGGGCTTGTTCACTTCTTTCTAAGAAGCTCCCTGGGGATGACAAACCCTAAGTCTTACAGAGGCTGCCGGGGAGGGGGGGCAGAAGTCACAAAGGGACAAGGAGAAGCGGGTGCTGGGCATGGAGCCCCTGGGGAGGGCCTTTGTGATTTCGAGGTAGTGCCCACCTGTGACCCTGAGGTTGATCCAGAACTGGATAGCCAACAGGCTGTCCCTCTGTGGCCTGGGAGCCCGGGGAGAGGTGGTTAGAGGGGCCCTGGCCCCTGAAGGGAGAGAGAGAGAGGACAAACATTAGTGAGGAGAGTAGTCTGTGGGTGCAGGGGCCCCAGAGATGGATCAAAGGAGGGGGAGAAAGTCTCCCCTGGGTGCCCTGATCACTTGGAGATGACAGCCCTGCAAAGGGTCCAGTCAGACGTTGGAGGGCTCTGGCCAGGGCTGTCTTCTAGGGACCATTCTGGAGCTGGTTCCAGCTGCTTCAAGGAGCAGTGTTGTCAACTGCACTCAACCCAAGAGAATGTGGTTTACATTCTTTTGTAGAGCAGGACCCTTTTGTGTTTACATCCGTCCTACCTGGTATGGGCCAGTCACTCCACAGGGAGGCCTCCTTTTCTCCAACCAGATTCTAAGCAGCCCAGGTTTAACTCCTCCTCCCTACCTCATCCCAAGAGCTGGTCTGCGAAGGTTAGCTCTGCTCCCTTACTGCTCCTCTCCAGAGCAAGCTTCCCACCACACTCCTGCGTTTAGACTTGCTCACTCCCCAGCCTTCCCCCTCCAGCCTCCACAATACAGCCGCTCATCCACCTAAAAAGCAAAGCTGAATTCACCAACGTCTGCTTAGAATGCTTCAACTCTCCCCAGTGCCCTCAGACCAGAAAGCCCAACCATCTCCCTAGAACAATAATAAAACCCTTGTGGTTGTCCAAACAAAAATGAGCAGCCCCTCCAGGAGAATTGGCTGTCTTTCCCAGCATTGGGAAATCTTGCAGTGGTCAGGCAAGCTCTCTGAGGCTGGGCAGCAAGCGTTCAAATCCTGGGTCCGCCACCTAGTGGTATAACCTTGAACAAGTGACTTCACTTGTCTCAGGTCCAGTTTCCCATTCTGTATAATGGGGGCAAAAATAATATCCACTCATGAGTTGTCAGAATTAAAGGAGATGGGGTATATAAAAAGCCCTTAGGTGGTTCAGTTACAAATATCACTATCTGGCACTTGGATAGCACAGGATGGATGCCTCGTCTCATTGTATCATCAGAATGATCCTGTGGAGAAGATAGGTCAGACATCCCCATTTTACCTGTGGCAGTCGAGGTGATTCCAACTCATGGCGACCCTATGTGCTCCATAGTAGGCCTCCTCCATTAGGGGTGCTTGGCTGTAATCTTTACAGAAGCAGATCACTGGGCCTTTCTTCCATAGCACCGCTGGGTGGGATTGAACCACCAGCCTTTTGGTTAGTAGTTGAACTCAAACAATTTGCACCACCCAGGGACCTATATATCCCTATTTTACATGTAGGTATGTGGATACTCTCTGAGATTGTGACATGTCTAGCCACATTTGGCTGGTAAATGGCAGAGCCAAGATTCAAGCCCCGATTTTCAGAGTCTAATTCTGCCTCCATCATGTGATGGCTGCAATACCCATACTCAAATGCTGTAGGGAGAGCTGTTCCCTGTGTGCTACTCGGGAATTTCAGTGGCCTACAAGGTAACTGAGACTTCAGAGCTTTGGGGGAAGAGGGTGGAGACAGCAAGGGTCAGCCTTCCTGGAAACAACCCTTGTGATCTGGCATCCTGGGAATTTGCCCAGCTGGCCTTATGACACTTGTCCAGCACTGTGCTTAATGCAACACTTTAGGCCAATTTCTATGTGCCCTCTAAGTGTTCACCCACCAGAGGCTCAGCAGGACAAAAAATGTTACCACGGGGCTCAGCAGCCTGACAAGTTTTTCCAAACTCTATTACCTGGCCACACGCACCTCATCAAGCTGGTGAGTTTCTTTCTGTTGCTGGAAGTATTGAGAAATGTGTTGGAGTAAGTAAATATGTGAGATGGTCCCCCAGTATCTGGCAGGAGGAAGTGTCTAGGGAGAAAGCAGTGCAATAGTATGTTCCATCCACAATACCAAATGCTGCTTTCCAGCCAGAAAACTTATTTCCAACTGGTCCCTGATCCAAAAGTCTGCATTATTCTGGATTTCAACCAGGTAGCTTAGTTTAACTGCTCTCCAGTTATGCTGCTTGCTACTGTTTTCTTTCCCCCTGGTTGGCATGTGGGGCCTGTCTTAACCACGGCCATTATTCAAATGATGCATTTTCTTCTCCTGATTCTTCCCAAGCTCAGAAAAGGTTAGAAATTCCAGAGAACTCCTGCTCCCAAACAGTGTTTCTCTGCCAGGCTGGATCTTCTGATCCAAGCAAAAAGTGAAATTGACAAGTTCCTTCTATCCCTGGAGGCCAGGCTTATGGTCCAAAAATAAATCTAGATATGTTGGCATCTGGTCTGTCCAGTTTCAGCCATACTCCTTGTCCCGTGGGACTCCTATTTGCGAGGGGATATTTCAGTAGAAAGAAAAATAATACTTTATATCAAATTTTGAGGTCTGAGGGCCTCAAATATTTAGTACTAGCTAGGAACGTCAGTTCCAAATATATCTGTGTTTCTGTCGAGCCCAGCAGAGTTTCACCTGGGCTATACAGAAACAGAACTAGTCTGTTCATTTTAACAAGAACTTTGAGTGCTTTCTTTTCTGTGCCCAGCACAAAATTCTCTGTCATAATGGATGCTTAGAATGTATACCCTGTCCTCTATCCTTCAATCTAATTGAAGGCATGGACCAGACAAATACCTGGAAAGTGTCTCTAGAAGCAAAGCCTTCAGTATGTTTTGGAGTCTTAGACAGCAGGGGTCCACCATAGAGCTCATGGGCAGGGTAGTTCTCATAAAGGAGGTAGACTTTGAGTGGGGCTTTGGAGCGAAGTGCTGTCTGTCATAATACAAATATACTCCAATTTATATTTGCTTCACTTATAACAACAGCTACCAACAGAGAAAGATGAGTTGTATCTAAGGTCTAAGACTCTTTTCAAATCACTGCTGAACCCAGGACTTCAAGAATCCTGGGTTCTGTGTCTGGATCTGTTAATTAACTTGCTGTAACAGTTAGCATTAGTCTAATATAGGTCCACTATGCAGATGAAGAACAAAGGCTTACTCACAGAAGTTAGTCCTTAAATTTTAAGGACTTACCAAAGTCAGTCCTTAAATTTTAAATATACCAAAAACCAAACTCACTGCCATCGAGTTGATTCCAACTCCTTGGGTTTCTGAGGCACTATCTCTATGGAAGTAGATTGCCCAGTCTTCCTTCTGAGGAGCGGCTGGGTTTGAACCACCAGCCTTCTGGTTAGCAGTCAAATATCTAAGAGAAAGAAATTACAGTAACAAACAATTTAGAAGCTTAGTTCTCTCATTTGTACACAAACGTCATTGAAAGGCCAGAGCAGCCCCACAATTGTCAGGAACCCAGTTCTTCTCTTATTATCACCCTACCATTCTAAATAAGCAGCTTCCACCTTGTGGTCCAAGATTGCTGCTTAGGCACTCTCCATCACATGTTGTTTTCAGTCAGCAGGTAGGAAGAAGAGAGAAAGAAGAGTACGGCTTTTTCCTTTAAGGACATCTGTAAGAAGTCACATTCCATTTTATCTCATTGGCTAAAACTTAGTTATATAACACTATCTAGCTGCAAAGAAGGCTGAAAAAAAAAAATGTAGTCTTTAGGATGCCACATGTGTCCACAGTTTATGTTGCCAAAACCAAAAACAAACTCACCGCCATCAAATCAATTCTGATTCATAGCTGTTCCACTGGGTGTCCAAAGCTGTAAATCTTTATGGAAGCAGACTGCCCCATCTTTCTTCTGCAGAGTGGCTGGTAGTTTGAACCACTGACCTCTTGATTAGCAGCCAAATGCTTTAACCACTACAACACCAAAGTACCTTTACATAACCAAGGAAGAATAAAATACTGGGAGATAATTAGCAGTAGATGCTATCATCATTACCATGCCTTGAATAGCCAAACAAAAAAACCATGGACAATGCAATGGCATCCAAATGTTTAGTGGTGCCTTCCCTTTAACTCTGCAAGTCCAGCTCCTTCGTGCTCACAAACATTAGTAGCCAAAGGGCTGGACAACTAGACTCTTGAAGCCACAAAAATTTACTTCTGTTATTTCCCTTTTAGGCACGTTTAAGTGGGAGGAGTTGGGAACATAATGGCATGAAGCGCAAGACATTTTATGCCAAGGGCAACAAGAAAGAACTCCCTAAGGAGACCAGTGGCCAATAATCAACTGTGAATAATGCACAATTTTGTGAAAATATTCTTGGCCATACATTTGTATTCTGTTTCCATTTCTTTCCTTCTTTATTCCACTTACAAGGGAATCTCTTTCTTCACTCAGTTACTTCTCTGTGACCTAGTTTCAAAAGTAATAATAATATT